ATYCCTTCTCTTGTAAACATAGGTTTTACTTCTCTAGCTCAAACATTTTCATCACAGCAGAATCACTTAACTAATCTTGAGAGCACTATAAATCTAAAATTTAACGTATTTGGAGTATGCCAACTTCCATTAGTTTCTGGATCTTCCTTTGTATGTCTGGGTTTTTAAGATGACTGGCAATAAATTGAGAAATGTTAGTAAGCAAACAAAATACAGTATGTTGCGATGTACCAGACTCTAAGGTTGTGTGGATAGTAAACAAAGCAACTTACTCTTGTGCTGCCTTGGGGTCTTCTTGCATTTGCTCTAAAATAATCTTCATCCCAGGATCTGATAGGATGGCCTGGAATAATATAAACATCTTGATAAATAGTGTTTTTTTCCTCCCAATATCTGATTATCTCTAGATTCATGTGATGTGATTAAGAGTGATGTTCTAGTTATAGACCAAATAGAAACAACTATTTCCAGATAGGGATCTCATTGCAGATGCTTATCAAAAATTGTGTGACACCTTATTCATCTTGAAGAATTTGAAGGGGGTAATTCTATTTCCAGTTTTGATCATGTGACATTAAGATAGTACCTGTACTTCAGGATCAGCCATGGCACGTCTCTTGATCTCATCAGGGTCTGTTGGGGGTCTTGCTGAAGACATTATAGCATGTAATCCTTCTTTTGCTTCCTAAAATACAAATTGAAAGTGTCATGTAATCCTATCTTATGCTGAATTTCCCAAACYGATGTCTGACCTTATTGTTMGGGTCAATTTCCAAGGCTTTTTCATAAGCTAGTTGTGCATCAGAGTATTTCTTCAATGCAAACAGCACACCTCCTTTCCTGGTGTATCCTTTGACTATTAAATAATAAAGAAAACATCAAAATTAACTTTGTAAACCATGTAAGGAACAAAACATATTTACTTACTGAAAGTAGGATCCTTTTCAATGCAGGTCTCGCAATCCTACAACAAAAATTAAGACAATTACAAATGAGCRTTATTTCTTAACAAATAATTCCTGTAAACCAAGATCTGTCCAAGATCTTTCTCAAACTCRTCTGCACTAAWTAAACTATGGCATGATGTCTAARAAAAGACCTTACCTTGAGAGCCAAATCAAATGCAGCAAGTTTTTGATATGTTGCTGCTCTATTGCTGTACAGTTTTGCATCTTCAGGATTTCTTTTAATGGCTTCTGAGTAAGCTTTCAATGCATTTGGGAAATCACCTAAACAATACAATGCATTTGAATAAGTTTTTACTTCAAAGAAGACAATTTRCCAAATGATTTTTCACCTTTTTTGAAAAGAGCATTTCCTTTTTCTTTCTCTTCTGCTGCCTTTTCAGGATCCARGTAATCCAGTCTCTCTTTTTCTTTTAATAATTTTTCTGCCTGTTTGAAAATATTCATCACTATTATTCAAATGCATTAGAATCTAAAGCAATTTATCACCAATTTATTACCTGTTGRCATTTTTTTGCCACATCAGGAAGCCGATACTCCGTAAGCGATTTTTGATAATATTTTATAGCATCTTTGTAATTTTGTTGTTTATAATGYACATTACCCATTCGAAAAAACACCCTAAAAATTCAAAGTAGACAATTGTGAAAAACAAATTTTAATTCATTAAAATAACAGTTATTTTAACCTACTTGGCAATAAGTTTAAATTCTGCTTTATTTGATCGACCAACTTCTATTGCTTCTTCACATTCTTTAAGGCATTCATCGTACTTTCCTTCTTCAAAATAAACCGCTACAAACAGCATTATATATAAGTATCATAACCACAACCATAAAAGAAGTCAATGGTTCATTTTTCAAGTTCTGATACCTGCATTATTGGAGAAATATGTCATGTTCGTGGGATCTAATTCTTTTGCTTTGTTGTAATGTTCATGAGCTGTGGTGAAATTTTTCTTTTTATACTCTGCATTTCCAAGCTCCTTCTCAGCCAGTGCCTATAKTACAATGTTAACATCAAGTAATAAACCAAATACAACTTATTTCTTGTTGGTTTTCAAGTAACTGTAATACCTGCTTTTGAGAGTCACTCAAAGAGGAATCCACATCCATTTTTTCTTCTCCATTRGTTTTTTGTTCAGATGTTTTCTCCTCAGATGTCTTCTCTTGCTTTTGTGGAGGTTCATAGTCTGTAATACATGCAAAAAATAATCTTTCACAAAATCATAGTGGGACGTTTTTAATATCAATATTTCCAGTGAAATTGACATGTTGAAACCTTTTAAAGTAAGTGCAAAACTAGTGTAAAGAGAGTCCAAAATTATCAAAACAATATTTAAATAATTGATCTGTTGTGAATTTGCCATACCTTGATCRGCTACTTTAAGATCAACACCCAACAAAACCCCAATAGTCTGCATTATTCTTGGATCTTTTATGGATTGGCTGAAAATAGCAARATAATTGATCACAAAATGCAGAAAGACAAAGGTGGCCTTCTACAATGCAGAAAGACATGACAAATGAATGAGAAAGAATCTTGTTACCTCTGTAATGGATTTGGATCTTTCCTTAACTTTTCAATCATGTCTACATAGGTAGGATCATTTAGGTACTCCTTAGTAATGGGGTTTGCATGGAGAAGGCCGTACATTCTAGGATTTGCAAATGGATTTGTCAGTACACTCATTTGCTGTCTGAYGTCACTAAGTGCATTCTTTAATTGTTCATTGTTAGGGTCTTTCTTCAGGCCAGTTTCATATGCAGCTTCTGCTTCTGGGAGCATTTTAAGGAAGGTTAGAGCAGCACCAAGGCGTGAGTAGCCCTGAATATAGATAATAAATGTTTTAATAAATTATTTAACAGTCTTTGATAAATACAAGAACATCAATTAAACCTTCAGAAGATSAAGCCATTTTTGTAAAATAATAGAAATAATACTGCTAATATTTATGATATTCTTTTTCGCCTATTTTTTTGCGTCTTTCGATGTGACTACAGTCTATCGTGAATATACCATAGTTCAGTAGCCAATCAAAATAGTGCATTTCTAATAGCCAATAGTTTGGTGGATACTCATGCCAGTTATCTGGGATATAAGAATGCCAGATATTTAGATATAATTTGCTTTGTACAATTTATCAATTAATTTTTTATTAGTGCTCACATGATGCATGTCAAAATGTTTGAATTTAAATAAAAAAAAACATTATAACAAAGTACAAAGAATTAAAATTTAGTCATGTGATAACTAGGGCAATGTATCACTGATTGCTCAATTGAAAAGTTTTGTTAGACAATGAACAAATATGAAAAACATTTCATGCAACTGAGTTTTTCGCACGCTCTGGAGAAAGGGAAAATCATAAATCATTACAAACAAACCTTTGCCCATTCAGGTTTGAGATCTACACATTTTTTCGCGTCTTCCAAAGCCTGTTCGTATTTTCCATCCTTTGCATAAGCTGCTGATCTGTTGCTGTAAAAGACATGGTTCGTGGGGTCTACTATGATTGCCTCAGTATAAAACTCGATTGCTTTACTGATATTTCCTTCTTGAAGAGCTTTGTTGCCCTGGTCCTTTAGTTTCTGAGCCTGGCAAGAATTCTTCAAATTAATTCAATTTGGCTTAAGAAAAAAAGGGAATGGTAGTCTTACCTTGTCATCCGCCATTTCAAGCGAGCTACATGTGCGTCGGTGATCATGCGCAATGGTTTCCAGTCACCAATCCACACACGGTTRAAAACAGAGTCTCCTTCGCAGCCGATTTCTTCTTGGCACGAACAAGGCTGAATATTTTTGATTATTTGTTTTTGAATGGTTTGTATTTTTGATATCCTTGTGCGAAACCATTCATTCTCAGCGTGTGTGTCATTTTTTTTAAATTAAAAATATAAAATGGAATAAAAAATATAAAAAATTATTAATTTTTGTTTAAATTCAAATATAAATGAAGGCGTTGCAAACGGCTGTGACGGCTCATCAATATAAAGTATGAAACCAAATATAAACAGAACCTTCCTTTATATTTCGTTCTTTTTCGACATAACTGTCAATATATCACCGACACAAGAATGGATGRGTTTACTTTCTTGTCATCTTAAATGAGACAAAACTGAAAAACACAGATAGCATTGAAAAGATTCACTGCACAGCGGTGTGCAAATGATGCTTTTTTATTTCAATRGTTAAAAGCCCAAATAATTCACCAATTCATTGGTATTATAAACAGGTGTGTGCAAATACTGCGGAAGAAGTAATAAGATGACCGATTTTTTTATGACTACCTAAATTTGAAATRTTTCCACCTTGAAGATTGTCAAATGAATAACTAAGCAGTAATGATTCTAATTTTGTTTTGTTTTTTATCTGAAGAAGATATATATAGATGGCGAAGAATCCGGGCAAAACGACGAAGATGAACCAACCTTTTCTCGTTTGCAAAATGATGGTCTTGTTATCATTCATTATGGGTACAACCTACATTGTGCAAGGTATTCAAGCTAAAAACCTTACTTGGGTTTTACAATGTTTAAATAAATGGAAAATACAAGTCTATGACATATATTAAACCGATGTAGATAATAGTTACATAGATCGATTACTTATTTGTAGAAGAAAAAAATTGAAAAATCGCCAAATAGTTAAGCGCGCTTTCATGGAATTAAGTTTTGCGTCTTCACTAGCTACTGCTGCTTGCCCCTCTGTTGCTACTCACGGAATATCATGTGCTAAAGTCGCAAAATCTGTTTTATTTATCCATAATGACAGCCTAACCAAGAGCTTAAATATTTCTAGCCTGTCCGTCTAAATTTCCTATTACCGTGACGACGGATAAAGAGGACATCACAAGTCCTAACTACCCATCGTTTTACCCAAACAATAAAGAATGCAGGTGGCTCATTAGCGCTCCTCTTAATAAGTTAGTCCAATTCAGATTGAAAGTATATGACTTGGCTCAACCAGCAGACTACATAGAAGTAAGAGATGGTGTCAATGAAAGTGCTGTGGTGTTAAAGAATTTCACCACCAAGCCAAAGTTCAGTTTTATACCGTTCAWTTGGAGGTCATCTAGTGGGCGTTTCTTGTGGATGAAGTTCAAGTCTGACAGAGTTTATAGATCTACAGGATTTATGATGGACATAAGATTTGTGAACAAACCAAAAGGTATTATTAGTTGGATTAGACCTATTGTTGACATGTAAAATGAGATTGAATACATAGGACTGGGATTGGATGCATAGGAACTGGGATTGGATGCATAGGGACTGAGATTAGATGCATAGGAACTGGGATTGGATACATAGGGACTGAGATTGGATGCATAGGAACTGGGATTGGATGCATAGGAACTGGGATTGGATGTATAGGGACTGAGATTGGATGCATAGGGACTGGGATTTACAACAAACTTACATCAAATTTACATCATTTTGGACGCTTACATCATATTTAAATCAAATTTACAACCTTTTATGTACGCGATTTTTTCTAGTGGAAACTGGGAATGCGATTGAAAACTTGAGCAAGGCTGGGGTTTATGTGATTTTTTTGCCTAATATAAAGTATCCTATAGAAAAACAAATAAACAAAAGCAAATGAGAAGGATTTTTGTTCTTTATTACAGCTTGTTCACCATCTTCTCCTGAAATCATCAGAAAAGACGGTGAAACGATCATTGGACCTTACAGTTCGTCGTTTTATCCCAACAACCAAGAGTGCACATGGGTTTTCGTTGCACCTCGTACTGACCAAGTAGTTCATTTCGATTTTCGAATTCTTAAAGATGGTTTGGCTCAAGGGGACTATATTGAACTGAGAGATGGAATGAATGCAAGCTCTTCTTTGATGATGAACTACACCAGTAAAAGTATCCTAYTCAAACCTAGATTAATCCCAACTAGTGGACGGTACTTATGGATCAAGTTCAAATCTGATAAGGAGTTCAATGGACAGGGCTTCAGTATTACATACTATTTTGAGAATAAACCCAAAGGTAGGAGAGCAGCAACATCCATGTAAAACTACAGTAAAGAAATCTTATTGCAAAATTCATGCTCGATTTGTTCTGGTTTTTATTATTATTTTTTTTTACAGCATGTTTATCTCCTTCGTCCCCTCAACCTCTCCAGACAAGCTACGGCAAAATCCAAAGTCCTTTTTACGAGTGGTACCCTGTCAACCAAGAGTGCACATGGCTCATAACTGTACCTCACCTTAAGCTTATCAAGTTTTATTTCCATTCATTTGATTTGGCTCAACCAGGAGACTACCTGGAAATACGTGATGGAGCTACCTTTAATGCTGTAGTGCTTCAAAACTTCTCAAGTAGACCAAATCTCAGCAACAAATGGATATCGAGTGGGAGAAACTTATGGTTAAAGTTCAAGTCAGATGGTGTAGATACAGATAAAGGATTTTCGATGTTTTACCATCATATAGACAAACCCAAAGGTACGCTATAAAAGGTAGACTTTGTAACGCTCATATCTGTTGTGGTCCAGGATAGAATGTGCCTGTGAGATTAGAAAACTGAACACTCACTTTTTGCAGCATGTATACATCAACAAGGTATAGCAGTGGAGGAAAACGACATTACAAGTCCTTTCTACCCATCATTTTACCCGAACAACCAACAATGTACGTGGATTATCACGGCAAACAAACCTGATCRYGTGGTCGCATTCAGAATGAAACATCTKGACTTGGTTCAACMAGGRGACTATGTCGAGGTGCGAGATGGAATCGATGAMAATGMTGYCTTGTTACAGATTTTCACAAGYAAATCGAATCTTTCTGACGAGTTGAGGACATCAAGTGGACGGTTTATGCGCGTCAAGTTTAAGTCTGATCACCAA